GCGGCGGCCGCGGGGCTGCCGGCGGGCCCGGAGCGGGAGGGCGAGGTGATGAGAGCACGCTTCCTGACGCTGCTCTGCAGAACGCCCCGCACTCACACGTGCTAACCCGTTTAACCTTCACACATCCCTGCAGCGGGCGTGTTATCGTCCCTCCTCCTCAGGTGGCACGTTGAGGTTCCAGAGCGGCCTCAGCCAGGGCGCCGGGAGCTGAGATCTGAGGCTGGACAGTTGGTCTCCGGCCTGCGCTCTTGGCCACTGCCCCAGACACGCTTCCCACGGGGCCCTTGTAGCTCTAAGACAGTTGCCCGGGAGGATCCTGGGGCCGGAGATGGCTGCAGGTGGGAGGGTCTCAGGAGACTGTGGTCGAGGCAGGTGGAGATGGAGAGAGGTGGTGTCTGCTGAGACACAGAAGCAAGGTGGACGGTACGGGACGACGGGGAGGGAGTGTGGTTGAGGAGTCACACGTCCAAGGAAGGGCGGGACTTGATCTGGTTTTGGTCACTGGTGGAGTGGGTTGTAGTCACTAACCCCTATAGGACCCTCACCACCTCCCCAGGAATAACGTCTGTTTCTCTCCTCAGGAGCAAAGAAGTGGCTGGAGTGGAGGAAAGAGGCCGAGCTGCTCTCAGACATAGCCTACTTTGGCCTCACCACACTTGCAGGTAGTTGCCTCTGGCAGGATCTTGGGACTGAGGGGCCCACAACACCAGCTCCAGAGGGCTGCCTGGCAGAATGAGAAGCTACTGAAACTGGCCCAAATGTAGCCTCAGGGAAGGAAGGGTCCCTGGGCTAGGGTGGGAGGAGCTGCCCTGAGACCCTCCCTAGAGGAAGGCCAGGCCTCTACCCCCAGCCAGGGGCCTCTCCTTTCATCCTCTTTGTGTTCCTGAGGACTGTTGTCCAGGACTTCACCACAGGTGCTGCTGGGACCCATTTCTCAGTAGCTGGCCCTGGTGGCATGAGTGGGTCTCAGCACTGAATGCTGTCACAGGGGTGCAGGCAGCAAGTCCCTGGTCAAGTCGTGGAGGGTCTGTGGCCACGGCTGATCATCATCCTGCAGAGGGAAAAGCCAACAGGCAGGCCTGTGGATCGCCGACCCCAGCTCAGCGTCCAGCAAGGAGGTCTGAGCACGTAATGAGCACCAGCCTGGTTCAACACTGGGGGTCACCAGGGCATCTTGCGCTGTGCAGCACAGGTCACTAGGAGGCAGGAAAGAAACCCTAAGTGGCTGTGTCATGAGGCCTCTTGGGAGCTGATAAGCTCTATTAAAGGAGAAAAAGAGCTCTAGGGGAGAGTGCTTCCCACACAGGCGGAGCTAGAAGTCAGAGGCCCTGAGAAGGAAGGCTTGGGTAGTGACCCTTTGGCTTTCCAAACTCTGAGAGACATGGGGCATTGCAGGGACACAGGCAGGGGAGAGGCTGGTTCCTGGCTGAGACCAGACCACAGGGACACAGGTGGAAGCAGGGAACTGCGAGGAGGCTATTGATGCCCACCACAGGATGGTGGTGGCCCAGCAGCAAGGGGTGAGACGCGCAGGGAAGAGGAGTCAGACACACCTCAGGTCTGACCTTGGGAACGCGAGGGCCAGCATCACCATCCGCAGAGCTGGGAAGCAGCTTTTCTGGGTGGGGGCTAGAAGCTGGGGCTTGGCTGAACCCATGTGGTGGTGTCAGGCAGGCAGCTGAACTAAAAGCCTAGTACTTGAAAGCCAGCCAGGTCGGAGGAGTAGTGTAAGTCGCATGTGCACGCGTGGGAGGTGGAGAGCTAGAGCTTCGAGGCAGGTTCTCACACTTGGCAGGGGTAGTTAGAGGCCGGGCAGCTAGGAGAAAGTGAGCACCAAGGAGAGGAAGCTGGGAGAGGGAGGAACATGGGCCTGCAAAGGTCCTGGGAGCCAAGGGCCATGGGAGTGGCTGGCAAGTTACATGCTGCCTCGGGTCACAGTGAGACCACAGTAGATTTAGCCATGGGAGGTTGTGTTGGCCTTGGCCAGGGTGCAGTGAGCCTGGCAGGGATGGGTTCAGGGCAGGGGGCTAGGGCTGTGGACGGGAGCCAGGTGCAGAAAGTGGCCAAGGGTGGGCCAGCGAGGTGCCCATCCCTGTGTCAGGCACTCAGCAAGATCACACGCCCATCTTCTCCTCTCAGGCTATCAGACCCTCGGAGAGGAGTATGTCAACATTGTCCAGGTGGACCCGTCACAGAGACGTGTGCCCTCCAGGCTCCGCCGTGGCATGCTGGTGGCACTGCACACTGTCCTGCCCTACCTGCTGGACAAGACCCTGCTCCCTCTGGAGCAGGAGTTGCAGGCTGACGGCGATGGTGTGCGGCTCTTGCAAGGCAGCCTGGTGCCCAGCGGATGTAGCCGGTCAGGGGCGCGGCACTGGGTGCGCTGCCACGTGGCTGCCCTGACTGAGCAGCAGAGGAGGACGTTCCTGCGGACGGCCTTCGTCCTCAGACAGGGCCTGGCCTGCCTACAACGGCTCCATGTCGCCTGGTTTTACATCAGCGGTGCCTTCTATCACCTGGCCAAGAGGCTCACAGGGGTCACGTACGTAAGTAGCAAGAGCCGAGGGCACCGCTGCTCTGGCCACCTCGACTTTGGTTCATCCGCATAGAGTGGGTTTTTTGGGGCCTGAGTTTACTAACATGATTGCAAATTAAGTGTTCTGTTCTGAGGCTGGAAACAAAATCTCCTACTTAGAAAAAAGTGGATTTTGTTTAGACCCAAATTTTGCTAAGAGACCCAAGAAAGTGCAGTTTGCACGGTCCCTGAGGGTGGAATGAGCCTCTTCCTGCAGCCAGCACGTGTGGGGCCCCTGGGGAGGGGGCGGCCACATCAGCACACTGTCCAGTGCCAAGGCTCAGTGCTCTGGTCCTCACTGACCAAGGAACCTTGATCAAAACTTGCAGCAGATCCCTGAGGATGGGCCTGTGACCACGGCTGTCTTCCTGCTCTGGGGAACAAGCAGCTTGCCCCAGACAGTGGGGCAGCGTGGACTCCGCCGCCACCCCTCCTCCCCTGGCTCTTAGACCCTTCACCTGCCCCCTCCAGCTGCCCTGCCAAGGGGGCTGGGTCTTAGGTCTTAGTCCAGGTGTATTTTTCCATCAGTGACCCCACAGTGAGCAGGCGGGCCTCATTAGAAGGCCACACACTCCCGCTGTCCCAGCACCCCTACCACCCTGGCTCTCTGCTGGCTCTCTCACTTACTGGTTCCCCCAGTCTCCCACCACATCCCCCTGCCCCAGACTTGGTCCCCCTGCCCACTGGAGCCGCTGTGCTGTGAGAGCTCTTTTCAGAACAGCCTCCTGGACCCCAGCCCACCTCCTTCCGCCCCCCTTGCAGCGCTGCCCCTGGCCCCTCTCCACTCACTCCTGGACCACTCTAGTCAGGCCCCCCCTTCCACCACCAAACAGGAAATCACCACGACCTCCCTCTGGCAAAGCCAGTGGTCAGGTCTCAGTCCTACACCCTCAGACTCTCCAAATACATGACAAAGTCTATCACTCCCTTGCTATGGGTTAGGTATTTACTGAGCTGCTGGAACAGAGAGGCCCGGAAGCACTGCAGCTCAAGCCAGACAGAAGGCTCGTCCCTCTCCTAGGGCAGTCGTAGGTGTCTGGGCATCCAGGGCTGGCACCCAGGGCCCAGGTTGGCAGTGTGACCTGCCCCCTCCATACGGGCCTTCATCCTGGCCTGAGGCCGGTCTGGCTGTCTGCATTTCCCGGCCAATGGGAAGGGATATGGAGTGGAGAGCAGCCAACTCTCTCCTTAGTGATGTGGCAGGCAGTTACACATGTTGCTAGCTGTGAGAGAGGTTGGAACACTGTCCCCTGGGGGCCACTGTGTCCCCTGAGGGACATATGCCTTGCTAAGCAGGGGAGGCTCTGCTGGGCGCACCTTCTCAGGCTTCTCTGCTGGGTCCTTTCCTCTCTAAGAGGTGATCCTTGGGCAATACCCCAAATCCTCACCTGCTCCCTGGTCTGTCCAGTCTCATGGCTCAGACCCTTTCTGTGCTGACGATGCCAGAGGCCTGTCTCCAGCTTGGGCTTCTCCCTCAGACTCCACACCTGTGCCCAGCTCGGTCTTGTTTGCCGGCACTCCCAGGGCCAGCAAGATGGCCTGGTCCCAAGATGCTCAGTGCCTTGTACCGACCGAGGCAGTGACCGTGCCAGTAGACCATGAGGCCAAGTCCCCCCAGAGTCCTGATGAGTGCGGACCTGCCTGCCTTGACAGCTCCGTGTCCGCCACCTACCTGGAGAGGACCTGAGGGCTCGCGCCAGCTACAGACTGCTGGGACTGGTCTCCCTGTTGCACGTGGCGCTCTCCGTGGGGCTGCAGCTGTACGGTTTCCGGAAGAGGCAGCGAGCTAGGAAGGAGTGGCGGCTGCACCGACACCTGTCCCACCGCAGGTGCGCACCAGGGCCTGCCTACAGCGGGTGGGCCTCCTGCATGTGGGGCTGGGGTGCCCTCGTAACAAGGACTTTACAGGGTGCTCTCACCTGGTTGTCCCCACCCTCCCAGAAGCTCCATGGAAGAGAGAACAGCCCCCAGACACCCGCTTTGTACTCTGTGCCTAGAGGAGCGCAGGCACCCAACGGCCACACCCTGCGGCCACCTCTTTTGCTGGGAGTGTATCACCGAGTGGTGCAGCACCAAGGTGGGTTGTCAGGAGCCTGCCTCTGAGACCCGCTCAATTTGGGGGTGGGGAATAGGCTCCTTTTTATTTTATTTATTTATTTATTTTTTTAAAAGATGACCGGTAAGGGGCTCTCAACCCTTGACTTGGTGTTGTCAGCACCACACTCAACCAGTGAGCCAACCAGCCATCCCTGTATAGGATCCGAACCCGGGGCCCTGGTGTTCTCAGCACCACACTCTCCCGAGTGAGCCACGGCCCAGGCTCCTTTTTAAAAGCATTCATGTAAGTCAGATATGGGACCAGATTTGGGGTTAAAGTTCCAAATTTGTGCTGTGGAGGCTTTGCTGAAAGCAACTGGAACAGCTGCCAGCACGGATGAGGTTCTCTTCCTGAAAGGCCTGTGGTGGGCCCAATGCCCCTGGCATGTCCTGCCTCCCAGAGTGCTCACTGCACTTGGGGCCCCCATCCTTGTGCCCACACTGGACCCTACATTTCCAGCAGGACAGGCACCCCCACTGCTTCCCCTGAGGACTTGGCCCCAGGGGGCAGTGACTGGCCAGGCAAGCGGCTGACCCTCCCAGGAGCCCAGGCTGTCTCAGGGTGTTGGCAAGTGGAAGAGGGAGCCGGACCCAGCTGGAGCCAAGCCAAGTTGGGGTGGGCGCGCTGGGCTTCACGAACAGGACAGAGGACGCAAGCATTCTTTGTTCCAGAAACACTCCCAAAACTCAGCAATGCCCCTGGTGGGTGTTTGTTGAGCTTCCGGTGTGAGCAAGTCTTTGGAACTCGTGCATCCTTTCTTGACTCATGGGAGGTGTCGAGTAGGTCCTGCTGCTCCCTTGAGGCAGCACCGAGTCCGTCCACGTACAATCAGACGTAGTGGGAGGATCTGGGAGAAGGGATCAGAACAGCACTCAGCTGATGGTTGGGCCATGTTGACAAAACCTGAGCCCCTCGGTGTGGAAGCTCATGCCACACACAGTGCAGCCAGGTGTGCTAGACACAGACAACGGAGCTCAGCGCCAGGAGGGCTCACCACACTGGCTGGCGTCCTCTGGCCCAAACCAAGAAGCCTGGCAGGTAGGTTCCCACGTGCTAGGGCAGGTAAGGTGCCCCTTCTGAGGGGGCACCTGCATGCCTATGGGCATGGCCGTCCCTAGCCTGGCTCTGCCACCTGGTCCCCAGTGGGACTCAGGCCTTCTGGAGAAAGGCTTTTTGTTGGTTGTAAGTTGAAGGAAAGAGAGATGAGTTTGTATTCTGTAACAGGTGTAGAATGTGAACAGGCAGCAGATGCCAGTGGGGGGTGGGGGGTGGGGCGCGGCCACAGCCATTGTGACCCTCCTTCCCTGCCCCCCAGACGGAGTGTCCCCTCTGTAGGGAGAAGTTTCCTCCCCAGAAGCTCGTCTACCTGCGGCACTACCACTGACATGACAGCCAGGAGGGGATACAGGAAGTGGATGGAAGAACCCAGGAATCTTTGAACATCAAGGAAAAAAGAATTTATCCTCAAGGTTAACGTTACTTGCATAGAAATTATAAAATTCTCACATACTGCTTTTTGTCACCAAAGATACAGCACCAGCAGTCAGGTAGAGAACAAAAGCTGAAGCCATATGGAAAAAGGGCTGGCTCAGGGTCCTCGGGGCAGGGCACTGGCGGGTGGCCTCCATCCTGCCTGGGGCAGAGGCTCAAATGCTAGAGTGTTTCTCCACCCCCCATTTAGAACAACTTGGTCACTTCGTTAGGAGTTACACTAATTTAGACAAGGTTTTAGGTTTCCCTCCCTCCCTCAAACCATAGAGTTGAGAACTAATTTCAGAAATGGGCCAGAACTCACTTGGGTGAGCGTGGTGCTGACAACACCAAGTCAAGGGTTAAGATCCCCTTACTGGTCATCTTTAAAAATAAAAAAAAAAAAAAGTAGTAGGCCAGAAGAAAATCTTATTCCTTTACAAATGAGAAAATGATGCCAGCGTCAGGCTGTGTTAAGGCAGCGGACTGAGTGTTAAGTCAGGACTGGGACACTGGGAAATGTCGTGGTTTGCTTCAGCAAGTGCAGACAGAAAGGCAGCCCTCAGCCGTGGTGACAGGCGTCTCCCACAGGGCTGGCACAAGCTCACCTACCAGGACTTATTGGGAAGACCATGCAGGAGCAGAAACAGCAACCGAGGGCTGGGGTCTCCAGCTCAAAGCTGTGGCACGTGCCTTCCCACACAAGCCGCATTTGCTTCCCACTTGAGAACATGGAAGTCTCTGTCTTGGCCTCCACACAAACACAGAGAGGCCTCCTGCTCGGTGGGGCGGCGCTGGCTTGAGTGAGAAGTTTTCTGTTTTCTTAACACCTAACTAACTCTCAGAACACCTGGATGCTGAGTTCCAGCAAGGAAGGAGCAGGCGGTTCACACAAGACCAGTGCTGTGTCCAGCCCCCTCTCGACTTGTCCCTAGTCTACTTCCTGCCTCTGTTTGATATTTCCAGGTTTTTAAAACTGTATTTAACTCATGCCAGAAACAACCTTGCTGTAGGCAGCTTTAAGAAATTCATTCCACAGAAATCTTGGTACATTAAGAACAGAAGATTGAACTGAAAAGATTTCAAAAAACATAATGTAAAAATGCCCCCACCAGGACCTCTGGTCAATATGTAATATTCCCTTGGCTGGAAATGCCAGCAGGACTGAGGCTCAGCCAGCAGCCTTGGCTTCTGGCAGAGATTTATGCAAACTGTCTCTCAGTGTTTGACTTAGAAATACAGATGACTCCACGTTCCCGGGTTAGCCAAGGTCACTTTGTCAGGGACAGGTGGGTACAGCTCTATACAGCCCTCCTGTCATCAGTGCCGAATCTTTTAATCCACACTGTGCTACTGTGCTCTGACCAAGTGCACNACCAGGGCCTGACTACAGCGGGTGGGCCTCCTGCATGTGGGGCTGGGGTGCCCTCGTAACAAGGACTTTACAGGGTGCTCTCACCTGGTTCTGTCCCCACCCTCCCAGAAGCTCTATGGAAGAGAGAATAGCCCCCAGACACCCGCTTTGTACTCTGTGCCTAGAGGAGCGCAGGCACCCAACGGCCACACGTCCCCACCCTCCCAGAAGCTCCATGGAAGAGAGAACAGCCCCCAGACACCCGCTTTGTACTCTGTGCCTAGAGGAGCGCAGGCACCCAACGGCCACACCCTGCGGCCACCTCTTTTGCTGGGAGTGTATCACCGAGTGGTGCAGCACCAAGGTGGGTTGTCAGGAGCCTGCCTCTGAGACCCGCTCAATTTGGGGGTGGGGAATAGGCTCCTTTTTATTTTATTTATTTATTTATTTTTTTAAAAGATGACCGGTAAGGGGCTCTCAACCCTTGACTTGGTGTTGTCAGCACCACACTCAACCAGTGAGCCAACCAGCCATCCCTGTATAGGATCCGAACCCGGGGCCCTGGTGTTCTCAGCACCACACTCTCCCGAGTGAGCCACGGCCCAGGCTCCTTTTTAAAAGCATTCATGTAAGTCAGATATGGGACCAGATTTGGGGTTAAAGTTCCAAATTTGTGCTGTGGAGGCTTTGCTGAAAGCAACTGGAACAGCTGCCAGCACGGATGAGGTTCTCTTCCTGAAAGGCCTGTGGTGGGCCCAATGCCCCTGGCATGTCCTGCCTCCCAGAGTGCTCACTGCACTTGGGGCCCCCATCCTTGTGCCCACACTGGACCCTACATTTCCAGCAGGACAGGCACCCCCACTGCTTCCCCTGAGGACTTGGCCCCAGGGGGCAGTGACTGGCCAGGCAAGCGGCTGACCCTCCCAGGAGCCCAGGCTGTCTCAGGGTGTTGGCAAGTGGAAGAGGGAGCCGGACCCAGCTGGAGCCAAGCCAAGTTGGGGTGGGCGCGCTGGGCTTCACGAACAGGACAGAGGACGCAAGCATTCTTTGTTCCAGAAACACTCCCAAAACTCAGCAATGCCCCTGGTGGGTGTTTGTTGAGCTTCCGGTGTGAGCAAGTCTTTGGAACTCGTGCATCCTTTCTTGACTCATGGGAGGTGTCGAGTAGGTCCTGCTGCTCCCTTGAGGCAGCACCGAGTCCGTCCACGTACAATCAGACGTAGTGGGAGGATCTGGGAGAAGGGATCAGAACAGCACTCAGCTGATGGTTGGGCCATGTTGACAAAACCTGAGCCCCTCGGTGTGGAAGCTCATGCCACACACAGTGCAGCCAGGTGTGCTAGACACAGACAACGGAGCTCAGCGCCAGGAGGGCTCACCACACTGGCTGGCGTCCTCTGGCCCAAACCAAGAAGCCTGGCAGGTAGGTTCCCACGTGCTAGGGCAGGTAAGGTGCCCCTTCTGAGGGGGCACCTGCATGCCTATGGGCATGGCTGTCCCTAGCCTGGCTCTGCCACCTGGTCCCCAGTGGGACTCAGGCCTTCTGGAGAAAGGCTTTTTGTTGGTTGTAAGTTGAAGGAAAGAGAGATGAGTTTGTATTCTGTAACAGGTGTAGAATGTGAACAGGCAGCAGATGCCAGTGGGGGGTGGGGGGTGGGGCGCGGCCACAGCCATTGTGACCCTCCTTCCCTGCCCCCCAGACGGAGTGTCCCCTCTGTAGGGAGAAGTTTCCTCCCCAGAAGCTCGTCTACCTGCGGCACTACCACTGACATGACAGCCAGGAGGGGATACAGGAAGTGGATGGAAGAACCCAGGAATCTTTGAACATCAAGGAAAAAAGAATTTATCCTCAAGGTTAACGTTACTTGCATAGAAATTATAAAATTCTCACATACTGCTTTTTGTCACCAAAGATACAGCACCAGCAGTCAGGTAGAGAACAAAAGCTGAAGCCATATGGAAAAAGGGCTGGCTCAGGGTCCTCGGGGCAGGGCACTGGCGGGTGGCCTCCATCCTGCCTGGGGCAGAGGCTCAAATGCTAGAGTGTTTCTCCACCCCCCATTTAGAACAACTTGGTCACTTCGTTAGGAGTTACACTAATTTAGACAAGGTTTTAGGTTTCCCTCCCTCCCTCAAACCATAGAGTTGAGAACTAATTTCAGAAATGGGCCAGAACTCACTTGGGTGAGCGTGGTGCTGACAACACCAAGTCAAGGGTTAAGATCCCCGGGCCAGAACTCACTTGGGTGAGCGTGGTGCTGACAACACCAAGTCAAGGGTTAAGATCCCCGGGCCAGAACTCACTTGGGTGAGCGTGGTGCTGACAACACCAAGTCAAGGGTTAAGATCCCCGGGCCAGAACTCACTTGGGTGAGCGTGGTGCTGACAACACCAAGTCAAGGGTTAAGATCCCCGGGCCAGAACTCACTTGGGTGAGCGTGGTGCTGACAACACCAAGTCAAGGGTTAAGATCCCCGGGCCAGAACTCACTTGGGTGAGCGTGGTGCTGACAACACCAAGTCAAGGGTTAAGATCCCCGGGCCAGAACTCACTTGGGTGAGCGTGGTGCTGACAACACCAAGTCAAGGGTTAAGATCCCCGGGCCAGAACTCACTTGGGTGAGCGTGGTGCTGACAACACCAAGTCAAGGGTTAAGATCCCCGGGCCAGAACTCACTTGGGTGAGCGTGGTGCTGACAACACCAAGTCAAGGGTTAAGATCCCCGGGCCAGAACTCACTTGGGTGAGCGTGGTGCTGACAACACCAAGTCAAGGGTTAAGATCCCCGGGCCAGAACTCACTTGGGTGAGCGTGGTGCTGACAACACCAAGTCAAGGGTTAAGATCCCCGGGCCAGAACTCACTTGGGTGAGCGTGGTGCTGACAACACCAAGTCAAGGGTTAAGATCCCCGGGCCTCCTGCTCGGTGGGGCGGCGCTGGCTTGAGTGAGAAGTTTTCTGTTTTCTTAACACCTAACTAACTCTCAGAACACCTGGATGCTGAGTTCCAGCAAGGAGCAGGCGGTTCACACAAGACCAGTGCTGTGTCCAGCCCCCTCTCGACTTGTCCCTAGCCTACTTCCTGCCTCTGTTTGATATTTCCAGGTTTTTAAAACTGTATTTAACTCATGCCAGAAACAACCTTGCTGTAGGCAGCTTTAAGAAATTCATTCCACAGAAATCTTGGTACATTAAGAACAGAAGATTGAACTGAAAAGATTTCAAAAAACATAATGTAAAAATGCCCCCACCAGGACCTCTGGTCAATATGTAATATTCCCTTGGCTGGAAATGCCAGCAGGACTGAGGCTCAGCCAGCAGCCTTGGCTTCTGGCAGAGATTTATGCAAACTGTCTCTCAGTGTTTGACTTAGAAATACAGATGACTCCACGTTCCCGGGTTAGCCAAGGTCACTTTGTCAGGGACAGGTGGGTACAGCTCTATACAGCCCTCCTGTCATCAGTGCCGAATCTTTTAATCCACACTGTGCTACTGTGCTCTGACCAAGTGCACACAACTTCCTATCACATCTTAGGCCTTAGCCTTTACTAAAGAAAACAGTATGAAAAGTTCCTGAAGAAAAATGTCTAGAGTTTAAGAATGCCAAGTGCTTCAACATGTAACAGAAGGACCGGTTAGGAACATCGTCTGCATATAATGGATACAAAAGGGTTTTACTACGGCCTCTTGAAAGAGGAGCTCAGTTTCAGATGTGCAGACAGTAAACAGATGTGTCTACAACTGTGGACGGGACACACTGCCCAGAGCGAGGAGTCAGGGAGGCCCAGAGGAAAGCCCTCAGTCCGCAGCTCAGCACCTCTGTGCCACTGTGGCTGTTCTGCTGCTGTTGGCAGAGACAGTTCACCTTCCAAGAAGGCCGAAGGAAAGTTGGGCTTTCTCATGTGCAATGACCGTAGTGTTTTAGATAAAAACTACACAAGAAAGGGGACACTGTCTTTAATAAAGTTGGAATTAAAAAGTCACTTAAAATGTTTGAGTATTTTTTTTATCACATCAAAAAAGTTGACATGCAGGTAGATTCATCTTCCCCACAGAAAGTGAAAGCCATGTGTGAAAACCCACAAAACTGGTCTACTCTTCCCAGTTTTGTTGTTTTCCTTAAAGGGGTTGTATGAGAACAAATTTAAATCAAAAACAAACTCTTTATGTATCAAAGAAAGGTGTCAAAATAATCTCAAACAATTAAAATATAATATATATATTTATAATTCCAGGCCCTCAATAGCAATCATGGTAGGTAAGAACAAAGTTTTGAGTCATTATGATAGAGGCCAACTTTAAACATCTCTAAGTGAGATGAAATTAGGAAACTGGCCTTACAAACCCACAGTTACTAGAAAATCACACTTAAAATGCTAACTTCTTTCCATCGGGCAGGAATCGGGCTGGCGTCATCCCTCGGTGCAGCAAGCAGCCTGGCACTGCCTCCAG